TTGATTTAATGGACAATTACACTTCGGTTTTATCAAAGATGTGCTCTGTCGTATTTTGGTATTTGGTTTGAGAAACTCACACATTTATTTTTTTGCTGCAGATTGTACATTTATGGTGTCTTCAGCACGGCCATTTCAGCTCAAAACCCCATATAAATACTCTCTTTAAGAGCAAAGTCGCAGATTATTACTTAAAAACAGTCGGATTCTTTTCCATGACGCTGATATATGGGCCGTTATTTATAGAATTTACTGTCCTTCGGTTTATTCTCACCCGCGACGTAGGCGACGAAAGTGGCTGGTTGTTTGGATAGGCGGGGGGGGGGGGGGGGGCGGGGATGGCTGATTGTTATGGGGCGGGGAATGACTGGCTGAGCACTGTGGCCGCTTGCGAACTAAAACAAAAAAGAAAAACGTTGTATAACTAAGCGTTAAGTGAGAGCTGAACTACAGAAACCAACAAATCGAGAGCGAACGTCCTTAAGGTAATAACAAACGCAGCATGTATATTGAAACTTGTTTCTTACATGATTTATGTGCCCAGCGTTAATTAAATACCAAGGGACAGACAACCCATTTTGAACCACTCCAACAACTTCAATGACGTATTGAAAATCTAGCCTCTAGTACCGTACCACAGTGGGAAGGACAAACGTTAAGGTCCGGGTGGAATTCGCAAAAAAGCAACTTATGAGCCATTAGGGGAGGGGCAGACACAAGTTTGAAAAAGCTGTGCTATCTGGACGGGCCTATCCTGGGTATATTTTTTATAACCGGCCCTAACATGTCGTGTGCGTATGACTGAACGACGGAATGCAAAACAAGGAATGTGATATACGGTATGCGTTCCAACGCGTGTGAATACGCATGCTACGTGGGGAACAAACTGAAAACTTGATATGCCCCGTTGCAAAAAAAGATTGACCACCCCAGCAGAAATATATCGGTGGGTTTATCCGCATCCATCAACTTCAGTTCATTGGGCTCACTGGGTTCCAAGTTGAAAACTTCGGCTTCGCTAAGGACATCCCTGTTCATGGCCTTTGCATAGTCTGTAGCCAGCCACAGTGGTCCGGTGGCCACCGCAATAAGAACCAGGTCCACGCTTACGGATCAATGATAAAAACAGACAACCGCATATGGAGGCGGAAGTGTTCAGTGCATCTGCCCTCACTGGACACATGTGAGCGCCACCAGCAGCGAGGCTGGCAGGGCCTGCCTGGCCAGGCCACTGCCGCTCCTCGGAGGGATGGCTTGTGCGCCCTGCAGCCGCTCCGGGGCGCGCGGCCGCTCCTGGGCGTTTCTGTGTCAATTGTATCGACAAGTGGGAGTTTTCAGAAACGCCGGAATCCAGCGGGGTTATGTCCAGGTATGAATATGAGCGGCGAGAAGGCATTGTCAGCAGATGACGTTGCGGGAAACATGTGATGAGCACAGATAATTGCACCGGGAGCATGTCCGCATCTTACCCGCTGAAGATTGCAGAGCGATGACAACTATCACGCTAGCTGAATGCTTTCTAAGAAGTATATATATATATATATATATATATATATATATATATGCATATATATACGCATATATATATATGCATATATATACGCATATATATATATATATATATATATATATATATATATATATGCCGCAGTTAAACTATCTACATCTGTATCTACACATTCGCACGCCCAAACTCTCACTGAAGGAAAAGACAAGCAGAAGCTATTGACGATGAAAAAAGGAGAAGCAGAAGAATCAAGGAGAGAGAGAAGAGAGAGAGGAGAGAGAGAGAGAAGAGAGAGAGGAGAAGAGAGAGAGAGAGAGAGAGAGAGAGAGAGGAGAGAGAGAGAGAGAGAGAGAGAGAGAGAGAGAGAGAGAGAGAGAGAGAGAGAGAGCGAGAGAGAGAGAGAGAAGAAGAGAGAGAGAGAGAGAGAGAGAGAGAGAGAGAGAGAGAGAGAGAGAGAGAGAGAGAGAGGAGAGAGAGGAGAGGAAGAGAGAGAGAGAGAGAGAGAGAGAGAGGAGAGAGAGAGAGCGAGATAGAGAGAGAGAGAAGAGAGGGAGAGAGGAGAAGAGAAGAGAGAGAGAGAGAGAAGAGAGAGAGAGAGAAGAGAGAGAGAGAAGGAGAGAGAGAGAGAGAGAGAGAGAGAGAGAGAGAGGAGAGAGAGAGAAGAGAGAGAGAGAGGAGAGAGGAGAGAAGAGAGAGAGAGAGAGAGAGAGAGGAGAGAGAGAGAGAGAGAGAGAGAGAGAGAGAGAGAGAGAGAGAGAGAGAGAAAGGGAGAGAGAGAGAGAGAGAGAGAGGAGAGAGAGAGAGAGGGAGAGAGAGAGAGAGAGAGGAGAGAGAGAGAGAGAGAGAGAGAAGAGAGAAGAGAGAGATAGAGGAGAGAGAGAGAGAGAGAGAGAGAGAGAGAGA